TAATATCTGTGTTTTCTAGCTATTGCAGTAATCATATTCTTATGAATTCTAATGTTGTTGCAATTGAATCTGTAATTGAAAATTGGAATTGATGGTGTTAAAAACAGTATACATGTAAGAGTAATTCCTGATGAAATTTCTTTTTAATATTTTTTCTGATGAGACTCTTCCAGTTTGCTTCCTAACTTGCATGCCTTATCTATCATATCGTATCAAACATCTACTAGTGTGGAAAACCAAAATTCAGTTGCTGCTCTTTGCAGGTAAAACATAGTAGAACCTCTTCTCCATCTTCTTATGGGAAGAATTTCAGCCATTTGATAGACATGTATGCTGGAAAGAAAAAGAATAATGAAAAGAAGTATGGTACTATCATGGAAGAATTAAATGATTGCTCTGATAGTGCTGCCGATTATAGCATATCTCATGGAGATGTATCTTCTCCAAATGACATGAACAGAATTGAAGATGATTGCAGTGATACATATGATGATGAAGTAAACTTAACTAAGGAAAATGAATCAACTGCTTCAGGTGAAAAGGAAATGTCAGTTGAATATTTGGAAAATGATATTGATGTCTTTCGGAGAGTTGATGACTGGGATGGTATGCATCTTTCTTTTAATTTAGATCATGTCAAATGCTGTAGTATACTGGTTAGCTGTAAAATATGATTTGAAAGCAATGTAGAACTTGAAATGAAAGTTGTGAATGTGAAGTAGAAGTTTTATTTCAATGCCAGTGATAATAGAATTGCAAATATTAAACATAAAGTTATTTTATCTCCAACCTTCAACTTTGATACATATGCTGTTCTAATGCTTGTTATGTCTCATTTTGAAGTTGCATGTGGTGAATTCTATGGACAATCGCCTTGCAAGGACCCAGATATTTGTGAGTCTTCTGAGACTATTGATCCCTCTAGTAAGATAGAAGACAGATCAAAACTCTTGCAAGGGCCTTTAGAAGAAGGACCAACCATCATATATGTTCCTACAAGGAAAGAAACATTGCGCATCGCAAAGTATCTTTCTGGTTTTGGCGTGAAAGCTGCTGCTTATAATGCATCGGTATGTATTGCATGGTCGTTACCCAGGTCTATTAGACGGATACCATAGCCTGTTCAAGTTTGATATGGGTTTTCTTTTTCCATAATTTAGCCTACTAAATTATCCTTGCGATTGAATTGGAATCACTTTGACTTGGTTGTAGTCTACTAAAATACGTTGGTAATGGAACTACCTTTTGCACAGCACTTGATGGTGTAAATACATCAAAAACCTGTCTGATTTGATGACTGCTCTATCAAGCAAAAGTAACCTCAACTTCTAAATACATCTCAAACTGAACTGTTTAGTCATCAATTGCTCTCGATTCATATTTTTTCTTTTTGGTTGGCAGTGATTGTAATATGCTCACTTGTTTTCGATTTTTTCGCAGCACATGATTAAGGGTAGTTATGCTATGCCAGGGTCTCCATACTCCTATGAAAACTTATCTCTTGTTTAACGTGCAACTGACTTGGCCATTTTTCCCTCTCAGCTTCCAAAATCACACTTAAGGCAGGTCCACAAGGAATTCCATCAAAACATGCTACAGGTATGGATAGTGAAACTGATCATTATGGACTGCATGATCTTTCTATCATCTGGTATTTGAATTCTTAATAACGCTAATAACTTGGGCTATTTGGACCCTAAGTTTTCCTGTTTTCATGCAGCATCCTGTTTGAGCATGTCTTCCGCTTGACTTGTCCAAATGTATTGTCAAGTGAGGGTGCTGAAAATATTTTGACCTGTTCTTTCTATATGGCTTCATGGAAGCTTAACTTCTTATTGTCATCCTTTCTTGATACAAGGAAGCAAATGTCCCAGTTTTACATTTCAGTTTCTTTCATTTCCTGGTAGAATGAGGTCAACTGAAAATTTTTTGGACAACATTTTTGCATATTACTCTAGGTGGTTGTGGCAACAATTGCTTTTGGAATGGGGATTGACAAATCAAACATCAGAAGAATTATCCACTATGGCTGGCCACAGGTTAGCAGTTGAGATTTGATATTGCTGCAATATTATGTAGGATATTGTTATCCATTTACACTCATGGACTTGTCATAATTCTGTGGGAAAAATTCTGGCGTTCTTTCACTTTTATTAGTATAAAAGTAGCAACAAAAGTTCACTGCTCCTTCTGGCAACTTGTCTGCCTTTTCTTTTTCTTTTTTCTCATGTAATTTTCAGTTATATTTGGTCTCCTAACACTTCTTTCATTTTATAACTAATTGCAGAGTTTGGAAGCATATTATCAAGAAGCAGGCCGTGCTGGAAGGGATGGGAAACTAGCAGAATGTAGTAAGTTTTTTTTCATATATAGAGTACTTATCTTGGTTAGACAGAAATCTTATTTGGTCATAATTTTTAATTTAAATAAAAGTTCCATGTCATGCTGCTGCTTAAAATTTGTCCAGTAACTCTTTCATACTATTATCTGTTTCATTCTTTATGGTTGCTTCCAAGTAAAGGATTTGTGCACTGGGATGGGGCACTGCATGATTGATTTTTGTACTAACTAAAATTAAAATGGTTTTGTTTTGCCAAGCAGTTCTGTATGCAAACCTGTCAAGAACACCATCACTTTTACCAAGTAAAAGAAATGAAGCTCAGACAAAACAAGCATACAAGATGTTGTCTGATTGTTTCAGGTCCACAATGTCATCGCAGACATTCTTTTGCAGTTTTGTATCCAGGCTTCTATTTCAACATTTTGTTACAGATTTGCACTCTCTTTTTTTTTTTTTTTTTTTTTCCTTGTCTTCTCACAGGTATGGAATGAATACCACTTCTTGTCGAGCTAAAACACTTGTGGAGCATTTTGGAGAGGATTTCAGTCACGAGAATTGTCTATTGTATGTAATGTTTCTTTCAATTTAGGATCTGCTTTAATATCTATTTCAATGAAGTGATCTTTTGGCTTGTAACTTTTCTTTTTTAAGGATAAACCAACATTTATAATTTTTATTACTGAGATTCTATCTGTATTTTTTATTATTAGCTATAATATATCATGCTTTGCTTTGATTGCACTGTTACTTTTTGTTATATCTATCAAGGTACTGTTCTGCAGTATGTTTTCTCAAGCCATTTTTAATAGAACGTACTCCATTAATGCAGGTGTGATGTGTGTGTTAATGGGCCCCCAGAAGCGCAGAATTTGAAAGTGGAGGCTGATATTTTAATGCAGGTCATTGCGGCTTATCATCAGAGTGTAAGGATTTTAGTTCCAGTTAGTACTTTTTATGTTCCAGGTTATGCGTTACCATATGTTTTATTGTCATATAGATCTATGGTTAAATGAGATGTAAATAAGCGGAGATTCTTGTGCATTCAGATAGTAATTTTCTGCCCTCTTTTTTCACATTACAATTCTTATTGGAAGGCATATGTTGAGTTTCAGGAACAGAGTCATTCTCTTGATAGTCCATATGATGATATATGCTATGGCACTAAATCAGGGAGAGTGGTGCAGAAGCCAAACCTTAGGATGTTTGTCACTAAAATAAGGGAGCAGGTGACCTAGATCATTTCACTATCTCTTTATCCTTCTCTCATGTGCTGGAAGTGAATAGTTAGAAATATGTCATTCAAATTATCCGATGTTATTTGATGATTTCATATGGTGGTTTTTTGCAGTCTCAAAAGTTTTGGACAACAGATCAGCTATGGTGGCAAGGTCTAGCTAGGATTATGGAAGGTAAAGGATACATCAGAGAGGGTGATGAAAAGGTACATGCTCAAACGGTATCCTTTTCTCTTAGTAGAGTTTGTCTTTGAGGTCCTGATTATAATAGTGTTTACATTGCATTTCTGCGTCAGTGTTGCTATGCATCTGTAAAACCTCAAAAAAGATCTCTTGTTTCATGGTCATTGTCTAGATCACTTACTAATTTAGACTTGGGATTTGCCTAGTCTTCCAGCAGCTACTATATCTGATCACCATAGTTTTTGCTTTGACCTGTTTTCCAGTAAAAGTTACTATACAGATAAAAACTTCTCGTTACAATCGAATTTGCCCTCTTATGGCTGTCTTTTGAACAAGGCAAAGTCTTGAAGCATTTCAGAAAAAGTTTCCTTTCTACCACTAGGAAAATTTGAAATTTGATTTTCATTGCATGAATTTCGATTGTTTGTTTGTATGTTTGGATGTTCCTAAACTGGCCTTCTTAAATTCACTGTTTATGCAGAGCCATGTCCAAATAAAATTCCCAGAGCCAACAAAATTGGGACTCGAGTTTCTGCAATATGATAGAGAGGAACCATTCTACGTTTACCCTGAAGCTGATATGCAACTCTCAGTTAACAACAACAAACCTCATTCTACTTTTGCAGAATGGGGTAAAGGTTGGGCAGATCCAGAGATCCGTCGGCAACGCCTAGAAAGAAAGCAGTCATACAGAAAGCCAAGGGAGTCAAGACAGCCTCGGAGGAGAAAATCTGGTAAAGTGAAACCAGATTTCAAAACTGCTCGAGGTAGAATAGCAGCAAAACTCATTTCCAAACAGAAGTGATTAATGATATTCTCCAAATTATTTGCCCTCGTAAGTAAATGTTTTTGCATCGAAAAGGTGCTCCACTGTTAGTCTAACCCTTCAGCCTCTTTAATACCCCATAGAGGAGATCTAATCACAAAAGAATGGTGTTCTTGAACCAAAATAGGATATGGTGAGATTTAGGTAGACTGTTTGACGGTGGTGTCTTTCCACAAAAGAATTGTAGGAAAATATTCTCAGAAGCACTCTTTCATGACAGAAAGAAGTATCTAAAACTCAACTCCATAATATGAAAAAGGGAGTTTTTTCTCGAAGCAACCTTACGTGCGCCATCTGCTACGAAAGGAATGTCCCTCAATGAAAGCGAGGAATCGTTTTGAGCACCATAGATGCATTTCATTTCCTTTAGTAAATTCGCTCTCTTGATGCATCAACCCAAAGAGAAGCTAGCTTCATGGACTATAGCCGCCTTGTTTTTGCCATTGCTAGCTTCTCTGCGTCATTCTTTGTTGGCTTGCCATACCTGAAGAGATGGCACAAACAACAAATCACAACAGAGAAACTAGGGATTATAAACGAGGCTCTGGAACGAGCTGAAGAAAGGGTTAGAAACTTTGAAGAAAGGCACGATCACTTACTAGGCCAAATATGCTCATATTATTTGACCAATCAAGAGCTTGGGGATGCGTTGGCTGGTGCTAGGGCTGCCTTGAATGAGGCAGTGGAGTTTGCTGTTAGACTGAGAGAAGTGCAAATGAGGATCTTGATCAACTTTCCAGATGAAGCTGATCTTTCAATGGTAGATGGCCCATGTGCAAATGTAATCGTGCCTGAGAACAATTAAATACTCAACAAGAGCAGTTCCACTATGGGCTCTCTGACATTAAAGACTCAGTTTGGTCAAGCAAAAATTCTGGAGCGTGCCTTGGATGAAGCTAGTTTTTCTGTATTAGTATTTGGAATTCTTTAATTAATCCAAAGCCTGTGCTACAGTTCTAGACACCAAGAAATTGTATAATGTTAATTACTATTACTATTGATTATTACTATTGTTTATGTTTACTATGAACAATAGCATATCCAATATTTTTCAACACAGGCCTAGTTACATTCAAAAATATTAGTAGTGTTGTTTGGTTTATCCTAACAACTTCAAATTAGATGTTTCATCATGATACCTTGACCATTCTAAAATGAGTAAATTATAAATTAGTCTTTCTCTTGTTTAGAGAAACTAATTAATTAGTCTTCTTTTTAAAAAAACTAATCATTTCGTTTCTTATGTTTTAATTCTATCAATAACTTAGTTATTTCTGATTTAATATTTTTGTTTTTGAACTGCTATTTTTTATTTTATTTTTTTGGTCGAGGAGAGAAAAATAGAGTGGGTGGAGGAGAAAAATAAGACCTCAAAACAAAAAAAATACTAATTTAACAAAAAAAAATGATAAAAAAAAAACCTAACTTATTGACGGAGTTGAAAGGTAAAAAAAACCAAATAATTAGTTTTAAAATGAAAAGGATTAATTATTTTATTTTTGAAACAAAGGGACTAATTTATAATTTACCTTCTAGAATCTAAAACATCGAAGGCATGCATGATGCTTTTGCGGGGGTAAATGGATGAAAGCATCGTGCCTTGCGTTATTGTGTAATTGGTTGCTTGGGTACAAGGGTGTTCACTATTCGGTAAAAACCAAATAACCGAATTAAACCGCATCGAAATTGATTGTTTTTAGAAACTAAAAAAAAAAAAAAAAACCCGAACCGAAATATAGCCGATTTTCGATTTTCAATTTTGGTTTTTTTTTTTAATTTGTTAAAACCGAATAACCGAAATTATTAAATTTTTTAAAAAAAATTCATTAGTGAACGACGTCGTTCATTCCAATCCTCACACCCTCACCTCACCCTCACACAAACCTAAGCTAATTGGAGTTAAACCAATTAGCCCATAACCAATTCTTGTTTATAATTGCCCTACGAGGTACATAATTTTTTTCTTGATTCAATTTATAGTTTTAAAAAAAAGATGTGAGATAGTGTTTTTTTTCTATGTGAAAGAAAACTAGTTAATTTATGGACCACGATAATAATTAGTATGTCTCTTTTTAGTAAACACATATAATTTAAAATTGCGCTAAAGAAAGTTGAGTGTTTAAAATTTTAATATTCTTCATTGTTCAAAAACAACATTGCCATTTAATTAGCAACTGTTAGCTTATGGCTGTAGTGTTTAACAAGTTATCCAAAATTATTAGTTCTAATTACGTCAAGTTAATTAAAAGTGTCTTTCATAAAGACAAATAAGTCACTTATATTTGAGCTTCAAAGCATGCTTTGTTTCTTTTTAGAATGAATTGTTAAAATGTCTTAATTGTAACACATATTTGACGGTATTATCTATCGATATCGATAGACAATAACATATATTATATATTATTAGACTTTATATGGTAATGATGACATATGGTATTATATATATATATATATATATATATATGTATATCAATTGATATTATATTAGTAATGCGTATTGATGAGTAGTAAAATAATAGCAAATAGACGAGTTCAATGAGATTGAAAAACGTACACGTATAGGAACATAGCCTAAAATCGCAATGCAAATACTAAATTTATTTTTTCGAAAGTGCATGATCCTTTCAAAAATCAAAAGTATAGATAATTACATGTGAAAACCGAATCATCGAATCAAAAAATCGACATATTTCAAAACCGAACCGAAAAACCAAATAATAATTCGGTTCGATTTCGATTATTTTTTTAACTAATTCAATTAATCGAAAACCGATCAAAAAAGTTTGAAACCGAACCAAATTACCAAACGAACACCCCTACTTGGGTATAGACTTATTGTGTGTTTGGTTTCGGAGGATTGACTACGGTTGTAATTGTTGGTGTAGTTGTGGTTAAAAAAATGTTTAATTAAAATGTTAGGTCGAATACGAGTTTGCATTAAAAATAATAAAAATTGTATATATTAGATATTATACATTTATTTGATTAAAAAAATTATGTAAAATTCATTATGTGCTCTTGCATTATTGAATTTCGAGTCATATCAATCCATCTATTCAATTTGAGTCTGTTTTAACCTTTGACTTTTAGGATACACTAATCTTATCCGATAGAACTCGCTATTTGACTCATAGGATGATGACACGTAGCCGTAGATAATTATCTAAATATAAAAAAAAAACAAAAAATGTTTTTAATAAAATAGAGAAAGAGAAAAATAGAAAAAAAAAGCTGCAAGTATTTTTTAATAAAATATTTTAAAAGAACATTTAAAATATTTATTAAGAACATTTTTAAAATTTTATTTAAAAAGAAAAAAATATTTTCTTTTATTAAACATTTTTTCTTTTTTAAATTTTATTAAAAACATTTCTAATTGATTTTTATATTTTTTGTTTATATAATTATTCGCATCTCACGTGTCATCATCCCGATGGCCAATGATAAATCGGCTAATAGAACAACATCAAACTAACATAATTCCGTTACGAAAAGGTTAGTGCATCCTACAAATTAAGGTACGATGATTGATATAGAGTATAATTGAGTAAAGAAATTGAAATGATTGAAATTCAACGGTCCAAAGAAAGGTAATAATTTTTGCCAAAAATGATTATTCTAAGATTTTGCACATACATTCCATGTGTCAATATATATAGATTATAGACATGTATAGAAAGGCCATGATAATAATTATTTTAAAGCTTCTCAACTTCATAAGTTTGAGTGTGGAGCATACCTATGTCGTATAATCATGAAGAAAAATAATTACTTATAGAATGAGATTTTTTTTCCATACATGACGATCATATAAGAATTCAATGATTGAAGAGATTCGGATATAAATTTGATGACAAAGCTTAACCAAATGACCAATCTATAAATGTCAATAAATCATCTCAACCAAAAAATTTAAGCTATTAGGTGAAATCATAAGATATGATGTATATTATTCTTTGATACACCTTCTCATATAAAAACTTTTTGGGTTTGAAATTTATATAAGTTTACACTATCTTAAACTTAATTAACTAGAAGAGAGAGTGGATGTATTAAGATTCAAACTCTTAATCGTTAGGTTAACAAGACTTTGATATCATGTTAAAAAATCATCGCAATCCAAAAATTTAAACTATTAGATGAAACTCGACATATGATTTATATTATTTTTTAATAATGAGTTTGCAAATCTACTAGCCTACAATATTATTGATTACTTTGATTACTATCTATTTGCTGCTGTCTACAAGCTATGCCTTATAATTTTCAAACATGCTAAAATCTTAGAGACTGCTTTAAGAGGTGTTTGCAATTTGCAAATTCAGTTGTTGCTGTCTTGACATGCGTCCTTCTTATTCTGTTGTTACATATTGTATTTATTATTATTTAGTCATTCTATGGTTTTTTGTAATGCTATACGTTTTTTCGCAACTATCCACATCGCCATGCTTCACTAATATCTGTTTTCTTTTTAATTATTAGAAGGATCAGTTTTTATAATCTATCTTATGAATTGAAGATAATCATACTCTCCTAATGAATTTTCTAATTTAAACACACCAATATTCAAAATTTTTAATGGATTTTTCTTGCGTCGCCTGACTTGTTAGGCTGGGTCGAATTTGGAGCAGAACATTGAGCTATGATTACATCCCTCCAAGTCCGCAAGGGTAGAATTTAACCCCCACCAACTCTCTACTTAACATAACATAAGTTGAAATTTTCCAATGTTAGCTTGGCATTTTTCTGAAACTTTCAATTTTGCCCCTAATTGGATAGGGGTTAGAAAACATTTTTTTAATATAATCTTAGCACTCGAGATGATGAATTAATCAATGAACGACAGAGTTACACGTCAATTTATTTACTTAACTCTTAAAAAAAATATATTATTATCGAAGAAATAAAATAAATATACTTTCAAGAGGATAAAGAGATTTGATGTATAAAATGACATGTCCTTTCACAGTTGATTAGCACGTAATTCCAGCTGATAAATTAGATTTATTTGATAAATTTTCACAACTCAATTACTAGCTCCAAATAATAGTGTACAATAACCACGCATGATTTTCTCCATGATGAAAAATTTTTTAACCATAAAATTGACATAACAATGAGATCACGAAAGAATTCAAATCTACAGTCATCATAAGCTGTTAATATAGTTTTGAAGTAGCTAGAAGTACAACCATTTTTATAGGAATAAAATTTAAAAAAATCTGAAAATAGCAGAAGATTGTCGAAATAGATTAATTAATAATGATAGTAAAAATCAATCACTGTGGCATTGATTTCAGAGAAACGAAATATCCTTTTTGAAATAACTAAATTTATTAAGTTTGGGATGAGACTCGTTAATAAATACTAAGGATCAAAAGAAAAATTTTAATTTCAGTTTATGAAAATTTATCAAAACACGAGAAAGAAAAGAAAAAAACTATTACAGGGTAAGTGAGTTTGAAACATCATCTGAACTAGCAATCATTTTTTTTTTTTTTTTTTTTTTTTTTTTTTTAAGGTTGCAAAAAGAGGTTCAATATTTTTTTCCTTTTTTTTTTTTTTTAAAAAAAATATGTTTTGATGTTAATAACTTGTTTAAATCCTAATCTCGACACATCTTAATTGTTAAATCAAAATAACCACGTTATTTTTCACTCTCTAATTCCTCTCATCTATGAAAATTTTATCCCAAAACAATACAACCATCCATTTCCATCCAGTTTTGAAATTTTCTCCGAAAACAAATAAAAGAAAACAATCACAGATTGCCAGCATGGCAAATCAAACGGCTCAAATCGCCCACACACCCACCCAAAATCAACTCTCCTCTCTCGTTAGCCAATTTAAAAACCCAGGATCGCCAACCTGTCACCAATCCCTACCCTCCATTAAAATCCAAAAACCACCCGTACGGGGATCACAACGTGTCACTCACCTCAATAAAATACACAAACATGCTCACCCTTCCATTTCTGTCAAGAGAATCCCGCTCTCTCTCAATTTTCATTACCCTTTTGAAAAAGGAAAAGAAACGCTCTCGCTTTCAACAAATCTGATTATCTCTCAGCTGTTGTTTCTGAATCTCTGTAACAATGGAGGCAAACAACGAAAGGTGCAGGAGGAAGGAGAGGAGGAGAAAGAAAGAAGGCAGTCTCCAAATCGAGCAAAGCTGGGCTGCAATTCCCTGTAGGTCGTATTGCTAGGTTAATGAAGAAAGGTCGTTATGCCCAACGTCTCGGTACTGGTTCTCCTATTTACATGGCTGCTGTTCTTGAATATCTCGCTGCTGAGGTATAACAAATGCTGTCTTTTATATCTTGTTTTATTTTTTAAATAAATGTTTCATCTTACAACGTTAAACGATTTTCAGTTCTGAATTTTGTCTTGTTTCTGTTTTTATGCAATAAATATTCAGGTGCTGGAATTGGCCGGAAATGCAGCAAGAGACAACAAGAAGAACAGAATCAACCCAAGACATTTGTTGTTGGCTATAAGGAACGACGAGGAACTGGGAAAACTGTTGCAAGGAGTTACAATCGCAAGCGGCGGTGTGTTGCCAAACATTAGCCCAGTTCTTTTACCTAGGAAAACTGCAGCCAGTGAGAAATCTTCCGGATCTGCGGCCAAATCTCCTAAAAAGGCTTAAACCACCTGTAATAATTTGGTTTCTATTTTGTGGTGAAAAAAGAAAGACTCGTAGTTCGTATTTAGTAGGAATCTATATAGGCAGTTTAGTTTGTTTGGTTATACTTTCAATTTATTTCGATTTCACCATTTATGAAAGGTGAGCTGATCTTTCAATAAGAAGTGCAAATGATTATTTTAATCAATTTTCCAGACGAAGCTGATCTTTCAATGCTGGATTGCCCAGGTGCAAATGCAATCAGGCCTGGGAACAATTAAATACTATGGGCTCTCTTGCATTAGAGACTCAGTTTGGTCAAGCAAAACTTCTGGAGCATGCTTTCGATGAAGCAAAGAAAGCTATAAGGCATCAAAGAACTAGCTTCTTAACGGAATTAAAACGTAAAAAGACTAAATAATTTGTTTTAAAACGATAAGGACTAATTAATTTTTTTTTAAACAAAAGGGACTGAATAATAATTTGCTCTTCTATGAAAGCAGGAGTTTGCAAACAGGTTGAGATGCAAGTTGCAATAATAACTATTCACAATAACGATCACTTCAAACTAGTAGTTTGCACTTTTCAAGTCTTATTGCAAACACGGTCTATCTATGTGCTACTAATTATAAGATCAAACGACATGCAAGCAATAAAAACGAGACTAATAGCATTAATAACATATAGAACTCAAAAAAAAAAAAAAAAAAACTTAAATTCATTGATGAAAAAGGTTGCTTCAAACTGAAATCTTTCTTCCATACATGATGTTCACACAATAATTTAATGTTTGAAAAATACAGACACAAATTTGATTATAAAGATCAACTAAATGACCAATCTATAAGCTTACAAATCTATTAACCTATAATGTTACTGTTTACTTTGAGTACTCCCTGCATTATGTTGTGTATAAGCTATGCCTTAATAATTTTCATATGTGCTAAAATTTGAGGGTATGCTCCAAGAGCTGTTTGCAATTTATAAATGCATTTGTTGTTGCTTGTTGTATTTATTAGTTACTCATTCTATGGTTTCTTGTAATGCTCTATGTTTATGCGCAACTATCCACGTCCCTTTATAATGCTTTATGTTGTTCGTTCTTATTTTTTCACACTTCATTAGTGTCTGCTTTGTTTTAAATTATTAAAATGATTGATTTTTATAGTATATCTTATTAGTTGAAGATACTTATACTCTCCTAATTAATTTTCTAACATAAAGGGAGCAAGGCCCATGGCTTTCTCATCCAAACACACTAATATTACAACTTTTTAATGGACTTTTCTTGGGTCGGCCGACTTGTTGGACTAGGTCGATTTTGAAGTAGAATATAGAGTTATAATTACATCCTTTCAAAATCACAAGGGTCAAATTTAACCCCTAACAACCCTTTATATAACATAATATAAGTTAAAATTTTCCAGTGTTACCTTGGTAACTTTCTAAAACTTTCAATTTTGCCCTTAATCCAATATGGTCAGAAAAAGTTTTTTTGTTTTTTTAATACAATCCTTGCACTCTAGATGATGAGTTAATCAATGATAGAGTTACATGCTAACTTACTTAGTTAGGTCTCCAAAACAAACAATAATTATTATTAGTGAAAAAAATAAATAAACATATTTAAGACGATAGAGAGATTTTGTTTATAAAATGATATGTCCTTTCACAATCGATTGGTATGTAATTCTAACTAATAAATTATATTTAATGGATAAATTTTACAACTCAATAACTAGCTCCAAATAATAAAGTGCAACAACTTAACATAATTTTTTCGACAAGGAAGAGTTTTCCGACATGTATGTAAATTAGCACTAAAATGAGATAAGAGAATATTTGGAGTTATAGGAAGTTGTCAATATAGTTTTGAACTAGCCACAAATCCAATCATTATAGGAATAGAATTTTAAAAAAATTGAAAATTGTGGAAGATTGTCGAAATATATTAATTAATAATGATAGCAACCAGCATTGATTTCATAGAAATGAAGTTTTCTTTTTCAAATAACTAAGAGTTATTAATTTTGAGACGAGACTTTTCAATGAATATTGAGAGCTCAAAAGAAAAATTCAAACTGGAGTCATGAAAACTTATCAAGAGATGAAAAAGAAAATTCAAGAGGGTTCGCTTGAACAAAATGAGTTATGGTCGATTAAATGAATGATTTTGATTTCAAATTTTTGTATATGTAATTTTTTTTAAATAGTTATGTTCGTCTTATACATTCGACCAAACAACAAAAAATTTAAATGAACTTAGAAAACATTCAAGATAAAAAAAAATGAAAAAAAAGGGAGAAGCAAATCACCGCAAAGTAAGTTTCAAATGCCATTTGAACTAGCAATCAATTTTTTTTATATCTTTTGATGTTGATAACTTGTTTAAATCCTAATCTCGATACTTCTTAATTGTTAAATCAAAGTAGCCACGTTATTTCACTCTCTTATTCTTCCCATGCATGAAAATTTTATCCCAAAAAAATCCAACCATCCATTTTCATCCAGTTTTGGAATTTTATAAGAAAACAAAAAAATGGAAACAACCATGGATTGCCAGCATGACAAATCAAACGGCTCAAATCCCCCAAACTCCAAACCAACCCCTGCAGAGCCACCCAAAATGAACTCTCTTCTCTCATTAATCAATTTAAAAACCCAGGATCGCCAACCTGTCACCAATCCGTACCCTACATTCAAATCCAAACAACAACCCGTACGGGGATCGCCAACGTGTCACTCACCCCTATAAAACTAGCAAACAACCACACCATTTCTGTCCAATCCCGCTCCCTCTCAGTTTTCATTTGCCTTTCCAAAAAGGAAAAGAAAAGCTCTCGTTTTCAACAAATCTTATAATCTCTCTGCTTTTGTTTCTGAATTGTGTAACAATGGAGGCAACCAAGGCAGCGAAAGGTGCAGGAGGAAGGAGGGGAGGTGATAGAAAGAAGTCAGTTGCCAAATCGACCAAAGCGGGGCTGCAATTCCCTGTGGGTCGTATTGCTAGGTTCTTGAAGAAAGGTCGTTATGCCCAACGTCTCGGTAGTGGTGCTCCTATTTACATGGCTGCTGTTCTTGAATATCTCGCTGCTGAGGTATAACAGATGCTCTATTTCAGATCTTGTTTTATTTTTTAAATAAATGTTTCATCTTACAATGTTAAAAGATTTTCAGATCTGAATATTGTCTTGTTTCGTTTTTTATTCAACAAATTTGGTGGGCTTTTTTTTAAAATTTAATTTCTGAGTTTTTTTTTAGAATTTTTTTCTTTATTCACAAAAAAAAAAATTATCTTAATTTTTTTTTGACTAATTTGAGATAGTTATATATATAAAATTTAATTCCTTAGAGGGTTAATTTCAATTTCAATTCTTATTTTTTTTCTTTTTTGTTTTTTATTTAGTCTCTGATGTGTTTTTATTTTTTAAGGTGCTGGAATTAGCTGGCAATGCAGCAAGAGACAACAAGAAGACCAGAATCAACCCAAGACATTTGTTGTTGGCTATAAGGAACGACGAGGAACTGGGAAAACTGTTGCAAGGAGTTACAATCGCAAGCGGAGGAGTGTTGCCAAACATTAACCCAGTTCTTTTACCTAAGAAAACTGCAGCCAGTGAGAAATCTTCTGGATCTGAGGGCAAATCTCCTAAAAAGGCCTAAACCATTTGTAATACTTTGGTTTTTTATTTTGTGGTGAAAAAAGAAGAGGACTCGTAGTTAATCTAATGTTTTAGGTATCTAGATAGTCAATTTAGTTTGTTTGGTTATGTTTTCTTTGCACAAAAATCTGTAGCTCTCATGTCTGATCAATCGATAATGGAAAGCTGCTTGTTTCCTTAGTTTCTGTATCGCTCGTCATTTTATAGCTTTTTTTTTCCTTTTCCTTTTCTATTTGTCTTAGAAAACAGTTCGAAGAAATAAAAAATTAATTTTTCTGGATATAACGTCGTTTAATAAAATTCTTAAGCAGTTGATGATAGTTTTTATGAAGTATTGGATTGCGAAATTGAGAAAATAAGCTTCAAGTTGTATGCTTCTTTTGATATTGATTTCTCCAAAGTGGCTTTTAGGTTCTCTGTTTTTGTTTTTGAAATATAAAATTTCGTTTTTGATTTCGATTTCTCCAAATTGGGTAGATTGGTTTGTTTTATGTGATTTTACGTAATTTGGCAAATTCAATTTCTTTTTTTTTTTGATAAACATTAATTGTAAAATGCAAGCCAAGAGTAAATTATAAATTAGTCCCTCTTGTTTGAAAATTTAAATTAATTTGTCTATTTGGGTTCAAAGACTAATTATTTTTTTTTCTTTTGACTTATTTTTTAAAATATAAAAAAACCTTATGATATAGAAAGATTAATTAGAAAAGAAAAATTTTATAAAATACTTTTTTTTTTTGAAAATTTAATTGTGGTTTACTCGAATTAAGACGAATAAATAATTAATTTTTAGAACTAAAAAGACTACTTGATTTGTTTTTAGAAGTGAGAGGGTCTGATTTATATTTTACTTTTCAAATCAATAAATCAGTATATAAATAAAGTGCAAACGAGGCAGTGACCGCCTTGTAATGGCTGTTGGCGGGAAAATTGAATTGTCCATTTGGGCTTAAAACGTGAAGGAAAACGGGAGATGGGCTTTGTGTTGTGGATTGTTGGCAAATCACTCGTATCAAGCCCAGAAGTATGAACACTAAATGTTCAATCAAGTTCCGAAAGTAGGACTAGTAAGAGGGGTTTAGGCAAGGTTTTGGAATTCAAGAGACTCCCAAAAATTTCAAGATTTCTTAATTGTGAACCCATGATGAATTATTTACTGGTAATGACCACCCTGTCTTTGGTTGCTATTTGTTTCTTTAAATCTTCCACCGGATCAATTTTTATTGCATTTTCTTATTGTTGTTTACTGGGCAGAGAAAGGTTTCCGCATCTACTAGTAGAAACAATCCCTTTCCAGTCATAGCCATTGCTGCTGCTGCTGGGTCTGGTCTCTTGTATGCAAACAGCAAGCCTGATTCCAGTGGGTGTTTTGTTTTTGGTAGACACCCTTTTTTATTAAACACCTTAAGGAATTGTCTTTGACATGTTTGAAATGTTTCAGATACATCGATATCGCTTTCAATTCCTGAACCTTTTCGTGAGTCTCTGTTACTTCCATGGCGAATACCACTGGACTTGACCCAGAATCATTGGCACTTTGGTTTGTAGTTCTCTTTTTATTGCCCATTTTTGAATTACTTGTCATGGTTTTATTGTTGTTTTATCTTTTGGGTTATTGAATTAATCGTGATTTTGTAGGACATCTTCAATTATTTTCATCTAGAATCAGCCCTGTCCCATCTGGTGATATAAAGGATGAAAGTTCAGGGGTTGTTGGAGAGAGTCCAAAATCCAGTTGTGGATGTTTAGGCAGAGATACTATTGCCAATGCGGCTGCTAGGGTTGGTCCTGCCGTTGTCAATCTATCTATTCCAAAGGGTCTGTGTGTTTGGATTGTTGCTTTTTTGATAAAATTTTTGGAGCTGTGGTATTTCTTAAGGTATTGGTGTTTGCCTTTTCGTTTTGTAGGATTCTATGGGATTGCTACTGGAAAGAGTATAGGGTCTGGCACTATCATTGATTCCAATGGTACGATCTTGACTTGTGCTCATGTAGTGGTCGATTTTCAAGGCTCGAGAGGTTCATCCAAAGGAAAGGTTAGTGATTATGGAAGCATAAATGAACTTTAATATTTAGCTTAGAGCGATGTGTTCATATACTAATTTTATTTTCATTTCGTAAAAAATTAAATTTGACAAAATTTAACCCTCCTCATCCACCCTAATTGTTTCTCTTTCAATAGTAGGAGATCTAAAGGAATGTGGTTGCATAGAATGAAGGTGCTGAAAAATAAGTTGGTAGTAGGTCAAGTTGTGTGAATTTCTGTAATTGTGTGCTCATGATCTATTATGTTCATTCTGTTCTGTTAATATACCAGAAGACAATTTGAAAACTAGGGCGTGCTGTTCTTCTGTTAACTGAGCTTAAGTTGCAATTGAAGCTTTTTTACCGTTAAGCTGTCCTTTTTCAGCTTTGCATGTTCTTTAACTCAGTTGTTAACTTGAACATGAGTGATCCTTTTCTCTTTGATAATGTTATGCCATAATGAATGCCTTAAGTAGTAAACATCGCCTATTGATTAATTTGTCTAATGTGGAATTATCATGTTTAGGAAAACAAACATCTGAGTTTTTCCACAGTGCAGTATGATGTCCATTAGTACCTGCTTATGCTGGAATCTATTATTTCCCTCTTCAATTAGTGGTTATGATCTTAACAGTAACTCTGTTTGTGCTGTAGTATATTAGTTTCTTCTTAACTATTGGATCTTTAACTCATTGATTTTGATGTGCAATGAACCTTTGCAGGTTGATGTGACTTTGCAAGATGGTCGGACATTTGAGGGCACAGTGGTCAATGCTGATTTACATTCTGATATTGCTATAGTAAAGATAAAGTCTAAAACCCCACTGCCAACTGCAAATCTTGGTTCTTCAAGTAAGCTTCGCCCGGGGGACTGGGTGGTAGCTATGGGTTGTCCACTTTCCCTTCAAAATACTGTGACAGCTGGCATTGTAAGGTACTTACAGATGCTAGAAGCAATAGAGGACTTTTTCTTGGTTGCCATTAAATAAAAACTTGTTTCATCATTGGTTTTGTGTATTTTCTGTCAGTAACAATTTATCATAACTCTAGTAGAATATAGTTCTTGTTTGATTACTAATTACTCGTTGCTGATTAAACTGTCCATCCCCTTTGGACATAGCTGTGTCGATCGTAAAAGCAGTGACTTGGGTCTTGGAGGAATGCGAAGAGAGTATTTACAGACAGATTGTGCAATCAATGCGGTAGTTCTCTCTTTCTCACTCAGCCTGGAAACATATTTTTTTGACCCCGCTTACACTGACTGATAATGCCTTCATGCATTAATGGTTACATGCTCAAGAATTACAAACATGTCTTGTGCATTCATTTGCTTTTGCATGTGTGATTTACGCATTTAAGTATATGTTTTGTCTACTTCTGTGGGATAGGGAAATTCTGGTGGGCCACTTGTTAATGTTGATGGAGAAGTTGTTGGTGTTAATATCATGAAAGTACTGGCTGCAGATGGATTAAGTTTTGCTGTACCAATCGATTCAATTACCAAAATTATGGATCATTTCAAAAGGAGTGGGTATGCAGTTTTTTTACTTTTTTATTTTTGGCAATTAGTTTGTAGAAGTAGATATGATTGTAGCCTACACATGTTAACTCTAGCACATGTTAAGCATATGAAGTCTTCGTTCCTGTTTGTTAAGATTGATATGCTTTATTGTTAAAACAAATTTGGAGCGTAAGAGAAGCAATATATAAAACCCAATTTAGGGAAGACAAATATTTCGAGTACCATGATAGTTGGAAAAAAAAAAAATTAACATCACCACTTTGAGATCAGAGAATGACAATAAGGATCACAATGACTTTTGCCAATTATCCGTGCATGCAATTTTAAAAGGTGGTAATATTTTGCAGGAGAGTCATTCGACCTTGGCTTGGATTGAAAATGATTGATCTTAATGAGATGATCATTGCGCAACTTAAAGAGAGAGATCCAAAATTCCCTAATGTCAAAGAAGGTGTCCTTGTACCTATGGTAAGTTATCTAAATGCTCATTCCCCTTCCTTTTTACATTCCTAATATATTTCTGAATCCACATTTTTCTTATCTTTTTTGAGATGCTTGCATGTAAAATTGTGCATTTGCAATTGTAGTCGACACGTATTGTCTACAAAAACGATTTATGTCCTGAATATTAACTTGAGAATGAAATGCTTTTATTTCCCTCTTGACTGGAGTTGTCATAAAAGGAGATAATGAGCTAGGAAATGTACCTATTGTGCTTTTGTTAATTGAGAATTTTGTATCTAACACTTAATATTTTTTAGATGGTATCATTCTAACCTTCAAAGAATATACTGTCATAGATGAAATTAGAAATCATCCATCATAAAAGAAATGCTCCTTAGTGGAAGGCATATGTGACGTGCAAGTAATAGTCTTGCCATGAATATAACGTGTTAGGCTGTTAGCCTTTTTGTGTAGTTTCGCCTTTCCATTTTACACGTTTGATCGTTTTCTTAATTTTGGCTCCAGGTAACTCCAGGCTCTCCAGCTGATCGTGCTGGATTCCACCCTGGTGATGTTGTCATCAAATTTGATGGGAAGCCTGTTGGAAGCATCACGGAGGTACTTTATCCTTTCTCTTTCTTTTTTCGGTGGGCTAGAGGCTTTGAGGAGGTTTTTCAGGTGCTTATTTGCAGCTGTTCAAGTCTGCAGCAAAATAGTTAAGACTGCCGCTTTGAACACAAAGATTTGCCAGAATGCTATTGGCTGTTAGTAACTGGTTCTTATATTGACCTGTGGAAATAACAATTCAGGGGTTTAATTTGACGATAGCAAGATAACCCTAGGAAAAAACTTAGAATTATTGCAATTTTGATGTCTTTTTATACTTATATGAGCTGATGCTTCATATAATTCGTGAATATGTGACAGATCATTGAAATTATGGGGGACAAAGTTGGCAAACCCTTGGAGGTAGTTCTGAAAAGACCAAATGATATTGTGGTGAATTTGACTGTTATTCCAGAGGAGGCAAATCCAGACATGTGAAAGATACTGATTTCTTTTGCGAAGATATATTCTCTTTATTATTTATTGTCAAATAGGAAATAGGCATACCTGAGAATCAATCTAGGCTTTGGGAACATATTGATCTAATAGGAACCTTTTTTTCTCAATTTGAGCAAGTGTTTAAATTCATCTTTTTCTTTAACAATATCTTCTAAATATGAACTTCAGTTTTGAGAAATAGAAATTGAGAATTGAAGACCTTGTTTTGGATGCCATGATCTTTAACCCAATTAAATCGAGTTTCCAGATACTGGGGGATTTCACCTATGAATCTGTTGCAAGATGGATCCATACCAGACATGAATAACTAAGAATATCTCCTTTGTAAGCGTAGGAATTTCTATTTGTTTTGAACTGCACAGTGTACAGCTTCATCGTCTACTATGTTTTTTCCGGGTACTCAACTTGGCTGCTTCATCGTCGAGAATGTTTTCCTGGTACCCATGCTTGGCGTCATAATACTGATCCATGCTAACCCAGTGATAAAATTTTGCTTTACTGATGTACATTAAGGCTCGAACGATAAAGGAAGCAAAGGTTGTCATTAGTTGCCTCGAAGTTAAATTGGCAGGACAAGAGAGCAGAGGGCCAGAAAACTTATTTTGTGAAACATCCATCATACTTGCCATTTACCAAGCATAACTTTAACAGGTAATTAACCATCACAATTTGCATTGAGAAGAGGAACACTCAATGATGAAAGATAGGCCATCTAAATTGTTATTTGACAGCTTGCGAAACATTGACGATGAGATCAACTGCTCTGGTATTGCTCCCATCAATTGAATGTTGGCAAAATCCAAATAGTCTACACTATAGAGCTCATTTTTCCAAAACAAGAAGGAATAGAACCTGTAAGTCCATTTTTAGCCATCCAAAACACCCTTAAATTTGGAAAGATAAAAAATGTTTCTCTGAATTTGATAGTGGATATTTTTCTTACATACATCTGTTGTAAAAAAGGCTAGGATTTGAATGATATGACAACATTAAAAGACTTGTCACTAAGGTATAATTGTCCCCGTCTTGTGTTCTCTAACAACCAAGATGGGAACATTACATGGAAGTTGTAGGACAGATCCTAGAGCTCAAGCCCACTGGGTGGTTCAGGAACAGTGTAATTTGTAAAACATTTACCTCCATTGGAAGCAACAATTGCAACTTATGTTTTACCAAATTTTTAGTTGCCAAGTATCCAACATCAAGTACAAAACCTTTTTTTTTCTAACCTTTTTTGATATGCTAGAGCACCATTTTATAGAGCAGTTCTCTTCTCCATTAATAGAAACGCTCATATCCTTTTCCTCCTTAAAAGAATCCTCCAATTTTGAACTTGCATTTTGTAACACAACAATCGAAAACCATGTTGTGGATACCACATTAAGAAAAACCTCCTCTGGTCTTCTGGGCTTGTATCTTGACTCGAGAGAGCCGATTTGGGGTATCGTGCCCTATCTTTTTAGTCTCTTATTAAGAAAAATGAAAACGACCCTGTAATCACGAAATTAGCAGGCTATCCGGTATGGTCAGTACAAGAATATTTTGTTCAATTTTAAAACTTAAATTGCAGCTTGTTAATGACCAGAAGAACGCCAAATATTGAACATGTTGACCATCTTGGGTTAGTTTGCTAAATCTCCTAACCTTTTCCCTTCACCAACAAGACAAAGGATTGCCAGATTGAATTCTCAAGGAATGATTTCTGTCAATTTTCATCATGTTCATGGTCAAGGTCATGAATGAGCAGGGAGCTATTATCAACAAACAGCATGTATCAAAAACCTTTTCTTATAAACTGCCCAACGCAATGCAGTTAATCTTGATTTACTCATATGTTTATATGTACAGCTAATTCCAGTCCCCTAAGCAAGTAATAATATTAACAATATTTACCAGCCAATCTGAAAATATTATCTTTATATTGACTTCGGAAAAGTTTCTCCTGACTCCAAGAAATTCTCCACGTTCAGGAAATTGTGATATTCAAGCTGGATCATCTCCCCGCCGGTCACTGGGTCAAACTCACATCTATAGAAGCTGCAAAACCAATACAATCAAGATTCAAGAACAAACAACTCAACTTGTTATGTATATGGAATGACACACTGATATTGATAACACTAGTGCTTCTAAAAAGATTGTTTCTACTGCTCAGCAGAATAAAGCAAATACGGGTTTCAGTAGAAGCAGGGATCAGACAAATCCAAAGCATATTCCAATGGAAGCCAAAGGAGCACTATGATCAAGGCACCATAACTAAGCATATTATCAGAATGAGCATGTTGCAGAAATATGATTTTTGTGATTTTTCCAAAGATAGTCTCATTATCAGCTTTAGAAATTGCTGACCATACCTTCGTGGCCCAGGGAATCATGCAAGCAAGGAAGAAAACATGCCAGAGGCCAACTCATGCAATAGGAACTAATTCAATTGGGCCATGATCCATAATGCAACAAAACGATAAATCAAAAACAAACCACGATGATCTGATTTTTCATTACCTTCCATCCATGCCGATGATGACAATCGTGTTCTTCTGGTGGCTAAACCCAACAAAATACTGTTGACCTTCGGGTAATCGAAACTGAGCTACTGACCACTCTGACCTGAAATACTTTGGCAATACACCTGCAAATAATAGAAGAAATTCAAGATAAGCTTCAATTCAAAACAATGACCTCAAAACCTAAGAAGCATTATTTACCAGGCTTGTACACTAGTAAATGACATTCAGAAGTTCTCTGACCTATGCAAGCTAATGAACTAGAGTCAAGACTTGGAAGTCATATCTTAACCTGTGCAAGGGTTTAAAACTTGTGCTTGACATGCTCGGCTGCTAAATATTAAAATTTACTGCCCTTATACAGCCTTACAATAACTGCTAACACTAACTACTCACAATTTTATTGAGGCAATATACTGGCATAGTATTATAGTCCAAAGAATAAGTTACAATGAATAGGGAAATTACCTTTAAGAATGGAAAGAGAAGAAAGTCTAGAATGAATTGGTTCAGATGCAATGGGAGACCTGTCATTTGACAATGAGGCCAAGGACTCTGAATCAACCTTGAGACTAAAGATATGTATAGTTCCCTTATCACTTGAGACAGCTAGGAACTGAGCATTAGATGAGAATGCAAGGCTGTAGATATCTGCTCTATCTGCACCTCTCCTAACCTAGCATGGGACACAAGAAATCATTCAACATCAGCAAATAGCATCAACAAACCGCAGACAGGAAATTAAGCGTGTCTAGCTAGATGAAAATCTAACACAAAAACATGCTTACTTAACCAACCAAAAATGAAAATTGCACAGAAAATGCTCATTATGGATCCAAAAAGAAACAAATTTGAAATTTGATGTCGTAAAGCAGTTAAACTTAAAAATCCTTTTTATTTTTTCAGAAACCTCAAGATCTTATTATGCTCTTTGCTTAAAAAACCCTTTTATTGATCAATTCACAATTCTTCAATTTATACAATCATGGTGCCTTTCCTTATGATAAAAAAAAGAGAGCTAAATCATCAATCAACACAAGTGCTTGAGTGTGTCTCTGCACACACTCGTCCAATGTGATCAAATTGGCTAACATATCCATTAACTAAAACACTGAGAAAATCATCCTTGCTAAAACTGACACATGCTCGCATTCAAAAAGTGAAATCCTTTCCTACTTCCAATCACATTAATTTAATTCAGCAAAATTGTAACACCAATTAAGATGACAAAAGACTCCAAAAACACCATATTCACCAGAATCACCACACATTCAGCATTACAGAATAAAAAATATGATCACACTAATTAGCTTACTAATTACCATACCTCTTGCAACAAAGTCCCATCCAAAGTATTGAATACTCTAATCAAAGTCCCTTTACTACTCGCGGTCGCTAACCTCCTCCCATCTTGTGTTAAGCCCATACAAACAACTCTTGAATCATGCGCCATAACAAACTTACTCTTCTTAGACCCAAAATTCTCCACCCTAATCTGCCCCTTTTGCAACCCTAAACAAACCAAAACCATTGGCGAAGAATTGTGAGAAATCTCACACAACCCATCAGGGTTCACAACCGTCTCTATTTGAAGCAATAACTTCAAGTCCAAGAAATTATAAACGAATATCTTTTGATTCAACACAACTATGATCATATCACGGCGAAGTTTTACGTTTTTCACCTCTGAACGGAATGATAATTCTCCAATACACCGGGAAACATGGTCGTCCCAAATCATCACTTTGTTTTTCGGGTAAATCGGGTCGGGTCCGCCACCGACTAGGCAGAAGAGATTGCAGCGGAAAAGCATGGCGACCAATCCTATGCCTCCGTGTGTGTCTAATTCGCGTCGGAATGAGGGTTTGAATGGGTCCGTGTCGAAGACCCGGAACCCGTTCTGGAGTCCAACTGAGAAGCAGGTGTGGTTTTGGTTGAAGGACAGGTGGTAGATTGGCGGGGTTGTTATTTGAGTTGGATTGTGAGTTATGGAGGCGGTGGCGGTAGTAGTGGGGTGATCGGGTCCAGAGTCGGATTCCGTTCGGGTCGCCATGAGAGAGGAGGGGTTAGGGTTTGGAGTCGAAGAGAGTGGAGTAACGGGAGGGGATAGGTTTTTGTGGGTTTTTCATGGGTGGCGATAACACTTGGCATGCGAGTGGATTTGTGTTGAGAGTTAGAGTTCTACACATCCACTAGGTTGGTAAAGTCTAATTTAGTCCTTGAAATTAGGGTAAATTACACTTTCATTTTTTAACTATTGAAAGTAGAGAGTATAAATAAAAGTAGAGTGAGAAAAGTAGTGTAAAATCAAAAATAAAGAGATGAAAATAAGCTTTTAATCGAAAGTAACTGTAGTTTTTAAGAGTTTAAATTTACTACCCCTGAGTAAAGTTCAGCGCTGATCTCCTCAGTAATTAATTACAAAGCATTATTTGATGTTTTATTAATACTGAGATATATCTATGTGTTTTTTAAAACCGAACAACTAATTTTTTATGATTTGTATGTTAGGTCACATTAGTCTTTGGCAGGATGAGAGTCTTGATATAGGTTAGTAATTCATAAAATTTAGATATTTTATATAGTAAAAGTAGAATTTGAATAAAAAATAGCATTTGAATCCTAGCTAAATTTTTATATCTTACATTAAATTTTGACTCGATAAATTCGGATGATACGTGTCGTGTAATTGTGTGCTTCATAAAAATTTTACTCGGTATCTTTTTGGTCTAAGAGCATTTCCAATTGTACTATCTAATTTTAGCTAGTATTTTTAATATAAATAGAGAGCATTATTAATTATATAGATTGAAGATCAATGTTCTCTCTAATGCTATTCTCTACTTTAACTCTTTATTTTGACAAAATCCATAAAACTCGGAGAGACTATTGGTGAAGAGATTGAGTGGCATAGTAAATAGTAATTTTCATTAATGAAATATAAGATAAAGAGTTATTTGGACTTTTAAGTATTGGAGAACTAAAGAAACTCGTATCTTAATTTTAAAAATAAAAATTGTGAAAAAGACAACATTGAAGATGAAATTTGGATCAAATCTGTTTATTATAAAGAAAAATCTTAATATAAAGAAAGCATTGGAGATGCTCTAACATAACAAACTCGATGTTTTGATGTTATTTTAACGAGGTATTTTTATAAAATTGTAGCTCCAACGTTTAATCTAAAAAATAAAAAAGTTCTTTCATCCACTAGCATGACAAAAAGTACATGTATTAAAAAATTCTACTCGGAATCTTTGTGGTCTAACATAGTTTTAATGATTTTAACCCTTTTGCTTTATTTAGCTTAGACACAAGCAAATTTAACTTTAACAATTGTTATTCAATAATTTCTTGTGACCAACCAAGTTTCAGATTTCAATAATAGCAATTATTCCAACAACAAAAGTAATAATAATACAATGGAAAGGACAACCTCAAAACTACTACTCCCCGCCCATCATTTCATTCTATTCTTTTTCTAGCAATTTTTGAAGTTAAATTGGTTCATCTACACAAATGTGTAGCTTTTATTATTATTATTATTTTAATGATTATCAGCCATACGTGGCAGGTTTTATCTTGCAAACATTTTTGGCATTATGTCATACAGGTGGTGACCCAAATATGGAATCGAACAGAAAAGCAACGGAAGACTGTGTATAGATTGACATGCGAAGTTTCTAGGAACCAGCATGGGTAATAATTAAGATGCTCACGAGTCATGGTGAATCTCGGACACACCAGCAACGAAGCTACTAGGAAATTTACTATCGAATCATATATCTTGTCCAAAACCCACTTCTCCATCCACATACACGACCCGTTAGAACCTTTTTGAGCCACAACCTTTGTTTGTAGTTGTGAATTGTGATTGCGAGACAACAATCTTATCTGATAATAGTAATACTTACAACAATCCTCAGATGATTCAGTCATCCACAAAGAAGATGAACACTTATAGTCCTTTGATTATCGCGAGTAAAGTGATTTTGGACAAAAATTGATAGGTACAACTCCCTCATGCTTATAGAGAAACAGATAGATAGGCTAGCATTTTATGTTTTTTCCTTACCTCTCGATATTACATATTTTTCCTCGTATATGGACTGACTGTGCCAAGAGAATAGTTTTTCCCAGAATATTTATTCTCTAACTAGAGCTATGGTTTCTCCATTCGATGAAACAAAAAATAAAAAAATGTAAATAGAACTTTTGGATTGATTAGCACACAACACTTGTAATATACACGGACGACGGATGTTAATGGAGCACTCACATAAACCATCCGAAATTCATTTGAGACACAGGATCACAGCGGGAAATCCTAAATCGAGCATCTATATAAATAGTTAAAATTAATTCAATCTAATTAATGATAATTATGACAACATCACATTAAAAAAAAAAAAGCCCTATTCTATCCTTCTTTCTTTCTATATAATTTGACAAAGCCCATTAATTATTTAAACAAGGAAAGAACTTAAGATTTCAGATTCTACGTACCTATATTATTAGGATATTAGGTAAAAGCTTACTCAGATCATTCATCATATTCTAAATACAATTTTGACAATTTTGAATGGTGTTTCGACTTGTTTAATTTACAAATATTATAAGGTGTCTTGCAAATATCATCAGAAGGTGTTTGAAAAAAGGACTTATTTTACAAACATCATCAGGTATTTTGCAAATATCATAGCTAGCTGATCTATTTAATTTATCACCCAAAAAAAAAAAAAAAACCATCATGATCAACCGAGTTTCATAATCTGGTCAACTTACATTAAAAAATTGCCACGTTATGTTATGAGAAACAGATATCAATATGCCGTAAACAAGGATTGACTCTGGAAAGAAAAGGTCATTCTATCAAAGGCCACCATAAAAAGCAAATTAACATACAATGGCGTCCAAAAAATCCTACAAGATTACTCTACATACGGTGGTGCTGATGGTGAAGGTCGTCGAGTAGCTTCGTTATAAGCTGGATTATAAGGTGGTGACTTAGGTGCACTTAGTCCAAAAATCCTCCATGGTGTCTTGATGGAGGTCTGGATGGCAGGAATTGCAATGACCATGTTGAATAAGTTTTGCTAACATTCTCATCAACCTTCCTAGGAGCACCCTTAATAATATCGTGTCCAAAATTATACTTGAGAACCAAGCAACCTCGATGCTTTCCTGATGGAGCCACTACTTGATAAAAACCCTCTTTTGTTTGCTCGTGATCCTTTGTCCAATTATCAAAAAGGGGCTTGATTGAAAAATAAACTTCTCCAATAAGTTGGTTTCCACCAAGCAATATTGGGGTGCACCAGATTTGAAACACAACCATCAATTGATCTTGTTGTAACTTTGAATCTTCCAAATAAAATCTCATCGGATAATCCCAAGTTGGATTATTTCCTTTGAATGTGCAAACCGGTGTTTCTTGCCTGGAGATCAAATAATCATCCATGATGGAGACCACAACACGGGTTTTGGAGAACAATTTTGAGAGTTTAAGGCCTTTCAAGAATGTCACTACATTAATGTCAAGAGCTCTGTAATCCATGGTTGTGACCTTTTCAAGGAAAGGGAGAAGGTCAAGAAAGCTCTTTCAGCTAATTTATGGGAGAAATTTGGTTTTGCGGGAACAAAAAATTAGGGTTTTTAAGTGCTCCTTGATGATATAATATAATAATGAAAGTGGGATCTTTATAATGCCAGAATTCAAGTCCAAGTAGATAACAAAAAGTGATTAAAAGTAGGATGGGATTTTTTTTTTTTTTTTTTTTTTTTTGATAAAGATTACTGGGAATTTTTTATTTTTCATTTACTTTATGAGAAGAAGATTACGGAGATTACTAGGATTTTGATTCCTTTATTAGTGTTTTTTTTTTTCCCTTCTAACTAGTAGAGGAAACAAAACTAAAAATCAAAGAAATCGTCATTTGTAATTTTGAGTCTTCTATTTTTCAATTGACAATAAAGAGGAATAGTATGCAAAACTAAAACACAAAATCAGAGAGGAGTTTTCGTAGTTTCTATAAATAAACAATATCTATAGCACCGAAGTGGAAAATGGTAAAACATGATTGAGAATCGAGAAAAAAATTCAATAGTTATTGTCGTCCCTTTAATTTTGATGATTTTAATTGGCTACATTATATATATTAACATCGATCGATCAAATTAATTTTTTTTTAATTTTTTTTACAAGACTTGAATAATAAACATGCAACAACATGTCAAGAAACTAGTAGTAGTATGGATCAACTTGTTTCATGTCTAGCTACCCATGGCCAATATGAACATAGAAGGACAAAAATTGAAACCAACATTAAGTTTTTTTTTAAAAAAAATCCTAACACAAAAGAAAGACTACAAAGAAATCTAATGCCATACATACCCTGAAGAATAATAGAAAAACATCCAGCAGGAATCGAAAGGAACTGGTGAATTCCCAAAATTAAGCACCAAAGAAAAGGCATCACCTTGGTGATTCCAAGGGAATTGTCCATTTTTCTCTCTCTCTCGAGCTTCTCCATATTTATCAAGCAGCGACCGGCCTATCTCCTACCGAATATTTCAAAACCTTACCAATATGCTTCCCTGGTCTGAAATCATTTTTCTCAAATATTGCGAACCGAATGTTGGGCTTTGAGGTTCTACCAAGAAGTTTTTCGATTGCTACACTGGCTTCTGCAATAACTTCATGACTATTCTGATCAGATTCAGAGGATAGAAACTCCAAAATATAATAAAGATTAGGCTTGGCTACGTGCACAAACTCTTCGACCTCCTCAAAATTCAAGGACAAATTGTTCCACTTGTGACATTATCCATGACTCTTTCTTTTTCATCAATGGGAGTAGTCAGTTGGCTTTTAGCATCTCCTTGAAAATCAACAAGAATGGCCATATTCATTCAAGATAAATAAACTTGCTCTTCTAAATCTTCAACAGAAGTTTTTTCAGTTTGTACAACTCGCTTGTGCACCACTTTGTTGTATTCGGAACTTGAAGCCATGATATCTGAAGTATACATTTTTTTTTTTTAGATTTAACACAAAAAAGGAAGGAGAGAGAAAATTTTTATTACCATTACGAATTAAGTTGTGTCAAATAAATAACTATATGTATGTATAGCAATAAAAGTTTATGAATTATTAAATAGTATCAAATTAAGCATCAAGAATAACTATTAGGGGAGCCAGATTCATGGCCTGGTTGGGTAGGAGATTTTATTAGGTGAGTCAGATTTTTAAAAATTTAATCTCATTTTGTATAAATTAGATTTTTTTTAAATAACTATATCAAATATACATGATAATTAAAAATAAAAAATAAATCAATCATATGGACACAACGACAAAAAATAAAGAAAAACCACGGGATCAACTTTGAAATAATACTATAATAAAACACCCAATATAGTCACTCAAATATCTTCATTTTCCCTAAGCTTAATTTCTATAAATTTTCTTATAATTCGTATATATTTTTTCTTTTCTCTCATATTACTCTCTTTGGCAATTATATATATATAAACTCTTTTTTTATATGCATGTGTCACCTAAACAGAAAAAATAATATAAGAAAAAGGTTTCTTTCTAATTTGACAATAGTCTTTTTTCTATTTAATTTCTTAATGGGTTACATTAATCAAGGTTATTCGTAGGTTGGACCTATAGTATATATCCAACACGATTTATGGCTATCTTGATTGACCCATATATTTTAATTAACTGGTCAAATTAATTTATAGGATCCACTTCTTTAAAATAAAAATAAAAATGACAATTAATAGCAAGTCATGAGGCAGTGACATAACCATTTACAAAAAGCAACAAGTATATAATAATAACGAGATACGGACTTAATTTACAAAATTAATATTATTAATTATCATTCGGATTGCAAACTATTCAAGATCCTAAGATTTGAGTATATTATAACAATCCAGAGCCTTTGGGGTGCATGATTGTAGATTGCAATAATTATTTTCTTAGATCATATAATACAGTTTTTCTTTTTCAAATAAGGGTACTCATTAATTTTTTTTTACCAATATAAATAACTTTTAAATTTATTTATCAAACTAGGGTATGTTGTGACATGTAAACTACACGTTACAATCCATGTCATCTTTATTTTAATATAATAATAGTACACAATTAAAATGACATAATTACTTCAAATAAATAATTAAAAGATATATAAAAAATTTTAAAAAATGATAATTAAAAGGGTATTCAATTAATGTAAAATCCTAGAAATCTTTTGATAACGAAACTAAAATTGTTTTTCGTCCCTTTCTCTTCTGCTCTTAAAATTTGGTACTCTTAAAACCTTTTGATAATGATTTTTAGTTTTATCTAATGCCACCATGCATTATCGTTTTCACAGTTTCCTTTTCTTTCCATCCTTTCTTGAATTAGACAAAAATAATGAGAATCACATGATTTCGCTCAATATATAAACTTGATTTATATTAATCACTAAAAATAAAACTTTCATTCGCACTACACCATATGAATCGTTAACCCTATGTACGTAACGGTTGTTTTATCGTAACGTAACGTGGGTATCTAACTAGCAACTTCTACATATTATAAAAAAGAAACTAAAAGAACTAGGGGTGAGACTATTCATGCTACAGTCCCCCCGCCCCTCTTTTTTTTTTCCCACCTTACCTCTTTTTTTTTGTTTGTTTATTTTCGTTTTCTAAAAGGCTCGGGCTACTGAACCGGTCCTTCACAATCTCATTGCTGTAGCATCCTTCACAATTTCATTACCGTAGCTTTTTAAATTTTTTCCCCCCGGTCGACATCCCTTTTTATTTATTTATTTTTTCTTCTTTTTAATGGGTTGAGTTGTTGAGATTTAGTATGTCCTTTTTTTTTTAATTTGTTAATAATTTTTTTTAATATGACTTTTGAAATAAAATTTTAGAACATGATTGTTTTATTTTTTAAGATATATTATTATAATTTATCTGATTGATTATTTTTATGATTTTTATATAAAAATGGTGTTGTTGCTTCTATAAATTATAGTGAGAGAGGAAGAACAAAAAGTGTGTGTTTAAATAATTTGACTTCATTTTTTAAAAAATAATAATAGTTAAAAAAATAATTTGACTTAGTTTTTTTTCAAAAAATTAATAATTAGTTAAAAAAATCACAGCTTTATTTGGTTATATATATAATCGAATTTATCGAAACCGATTTTATAGTAGTTTTTATTTAAATCTATTCTCTTCAACATATTCCATATAATTAAAGTAGATTTTTTTTATATTTTTTTATTTAGTTTATATAATCCGAGTCCGCTAAGTATGATATACACACACACACACACACACACACACTAACTAGGCGCGACCTTGCTCTTTTTTTTTTCTTCTTATAATTTATTTTATATTTTTAAAAGTCTCGGTCACCAATCTCATGATAGAACAAAAAATAATTTGGTTAATTATTTTAAATCTTGATATGTTTTGGGATTGGATCACTAAGAGGCAAAAGGAAACCCTTAAAAGAATATATATATTGTCATAGCATAACCGAATCTCCAGCAATTGTTGTACAAGTTAAGCGGTCATATATAATTGGTCCCTTCATCGGGAAAGAAAACATATATATTATTGGTCCCTTTAATATTCCCGAACCAATATTAATTATATCTTTGACATTGATGTTAACATACATATCTAATTATTTTATTCTTATTGTTTAAAATTTATTTCTTCAATTATTTATTCCTTATTAAAATTCTCATCAAATTAATTTTTTTTTATTTTTTGATACAATTTTATTTGTTAATAAATTTGATTTTTTAATCTATGAATTTTGGAATAAAATTTTAGAACGTTAATGTTTTATTTTCTAAAAAAATATTATTATAATTTATATTTTTAAATGAGTGTTTTACTTTATATATATATATATATATATATATATATATATATATATATAGAGAGAGAGAGAGAGAGAGAGAGAGAGAGAGAGCTAAAAATATGTTTTAGATAATTTGACTCAATTTTTTTTTAAAGTTAATAATGAGTTCAAAAAATTCACAAGTTTTATTTGCTTTTTTATATATATTTATTTAGAATTTATCGAACCAATTTTGTTGTAGTTTTTATTTTAATCTATTGATTTCAATATATTTTTACAATTTCGGTGGGTTTTTTTTTATATATTTTTCTATTTATTCTATATACTCGAATCTATTATATATCTATCGTTAGTTTTGTTAGAAATTAATTATATACGGATTCGATTTATATTAATCGCCAAAAAAACTTTTTACTTGCATTACATGATACGAATCGTTAACCTTATGTATGTAACGGTTATCTCCCTGCAGCGTAACGCAGTATCTAACTAGTAACTCGCTAATTTAAATGGTACCTCTAAATATGGCAGCCTACAAAGAGGGAAGAAAGGGACATTTCTTTCTTTTAATGTTTAAAAGGAACTTCAATAGTGGTCATTAAAGTTTTTATCCACACCCGTAAACCACTATGCCATCCTTGTGGGTTTTGGTTATGTTTTGAGTTATTGGGCCAAGATTGAACAATTAATTTCGATTAGTCCTAAAAACACATGAACTTATCCTATCTAACCTAGTTTGTATTTTCTTTGTTCTTTGGATGAAATGGGCCTTGTTACTTGCTTGGTGAGAAACTTAATATTCTATGACGAGTAATCAATAATTGATGAAGTTCCCTTAGAAAATTGAGTTGCAAGTAATCAAACACGGAACATGATGATAAAATAACAAATTGAGTTAGGATTCTATTCAAATACACTACAAATACGATATGACTTCTTTTGAATATTTAAACTTCAACTATTGTATCTCTTTGTAACCTATTTATAGCTAAATATACAACGAACCACCGAGTGTGGAATTTATCCGAGTACAATCTTCTTCATGGTATCGAGCCACTTTGGGCTCAATAGCTAGCGTGTGCAATTATTATTTTTTTCTTCTTTGCAATAGCTATTCGTTTGTTCACACATATTACCGTTGGATACTACAAATACTATCCCTCCATCACATTTTGTCCTTTCCTCTCTAGGCATATTGTTTCTATCATTCTCTCTCATAGCTCTTACCTAATTATTTTTCTTTTTCTTCTCAAAGCTGCTATCGCATGCTACTCGTCCCTCTATAACGACTTGCCCTTTCTTTTCTATACATACTTGCTTCGATCATTGTTTCTCATTGCTACTGCCTAAGGATTCTTTTTTCCTTCCTTCTTGGCCATCGTCACTACACTCGACAATATTGATGAGCTCCATTCTACAACCATTATCTCAACCCAAACACTTACCACACTATCGGCCTCCGACCTAAATATGTCTCATAATGTTACTCTTAAATTAAACTTCATCGACTTCCTTCTTTGGAAAACTTAGATATTACCTTTTTTACGTGACTATGATTTAGTTCATCAAGTTAATGGAACCATGACACCACCATCTCCTACACTTGATAATATCGCGCCAAATCGATCCTCTATACATGTCTTGGTATAAGCAAGATCAATTGGTACTAAGCTGGATTATTTCCTCTTTAACCGATTCTATCCTCAATCATATTGTTGGTGTCTCTACTTGTTAGAGATACATGGCGATGGCTCACTTTAGCTTATGCTTCAAGCTCTAAAACTCAAGTTTGTCGACTCAAGTCTCAATTACATCGACTCCCACGAGACAATGATAACATCTCCACTTATATACAAAAAAAGAAGGCTTTATTTGATCATCTTCCTACCGTTGGTCGTTCAATATTTGGAGATGACCTTCTCGATGCTATCCTTACTGGTTTTGGTCATGTATACGGACCTTTTGTTAGGTCTTTGGAAGCCATACTTGTTTTTGTCTCTTTTGATAACTTATTTGGGCTTCTTCTTAGTGAAGAACGATAACTATTCCGAGATGTCATAGTTATAGAAATTATTCCTATCCTAACGACTTACTATTCTATCCATTATGACAACCTTTCTCATGGCCATGGACGAGGGTAGAGGGG